GTTGAGCAGCCATTATGTGTTATATATCTTTTTTGGGACTTATATCCTTTCTTGTCCACATTGTTATCAGCTTTAGCAGTTAAGACGAGTCAGGCTGTAGACTTTTTACGTTCTTCATCCCTNGCCTGAGCTCACAGAGACAAGGAAGGGCTCCCCTGAAAGCCCTGAGTCCAGGCCTACATCCCCTTTTCTCTCATTATTCTCCCTGGGCACCTCAAATGCAACCGTGACTGCACGGGTAAGTCCATGTGCTAATACCCAGGCCCTCTGAATGTGACCTTATTTGGAAGGAAGCATCTTTACAGATGTAATTAAATTGAGGACCTTGAGATGAGCTCAGCTGGCATTACCCAATGGGCCCTTAATCCAAGTAAGTATCCTTATAGAGAGACAGAAAAGGAAAAAATGGCAGAGAGGAGAAGGCGAGAGAAGTCGCAAGCAGAGGCTGGAGCAATACTGCCACAGCCCAGGGATGGCTGGAGCCCCGGGAAGCTGGACAAGGAAAAGAAGTATTCTCCCGTAGAGTCTTAGGAGCGAGTATGGCCCTGTGGGTACCTTGAATTCAGGCTTCTGGCCTCCAGAACTTTGCGGGGAGACATTTCTGTTGTGTTCTGGCAGCCCTGGTGCACTAATGCAGTCTGAGAGTGAGATGCAACCTCCTGTCACCCAGATTCCCCTCTGACTGTCCCATTTCTGCCTGGCATTGGCAGTCTCTGCAGCCTGGGGGTTCCATACTGACCGGGCTCCCCATCCTACTGGCAGTGTCGTGGGCCTTTGGAATCAGCTCCTCTGAGCACTCATAATTCCCGGCCACCGCAGGTAGCCTCCTCGGCCCTGGAGGTCTCCCTTCCCCATTTCAGTGGGTTTCTGTTTCCAAGGGACTTAGGTTAGAGCCTTAAGCCTGACGTTCAAGGCCTGGCCCGAGCAAGCCACAGGGGCCTCCTCAGTTCCCTTCCCACCTGCCTGGCCACTTCAGATTATCGAGCGTTCCCTGAACCCCTCATATACTCCCCCACCATGTCACACCTCACATCTCTGAAGCGAACACCCTACACCCAGGGGTCCTCACAGGGAGCACAAGAGCCTTCCCGACCCTTCCCCAACCCCCAACTCCTGAGACAAATGCTTCTTTCTTGTAAGGGGCAGAAGAACAAAGGGAGGGAGATGGCATATTTACTAAGCCCCTCTGAGTGCAGCATCTGGGGCCTTGTGCAGATGTGTCTCCAGACACAGCAGGCACCCTACAAAGGCTTACCCACCTCCCCATCCTTAGCTGCCGCACCTGCGCAGCAGCCCAAGGCGTGGAGGCCGAGCAGAAGCTCAAGGTCCCACCAGTAGGCAGAGAGCCGAGGAGCCACACGCACTTCTCGATGCCCCTCCAGACCCACCGGCCCCCGGGCCCCCGTCCTGCCCCTTCATCATAGTGAGCTGCCTTGGTCTGCTCTCACCCCACTGCCTTCCTAGGTAGTGAGCTCGTCCAGGGCCCGGGTGGACTTGTCTGTCAGGACATCCCCAATGCG